GAGATGGCCAAGGCCCCATGCAGACACAGGCACTCAGACATGTAGACACACGGGGCTCACCCGCAGTGCCAGGGGTGCTTGGCCAGAGTGAGCAGGGAGCGAGCCTGGGAGGGACCACATAGGAGGTGCAGGATGTGTGCTTGCTCAGCTGCTGCCAAGCTGCCTGGGTGCTGGCACAGGTTTGTGGAAAGTGCCAGGCAGCCTGGGGCCTCTAGCCAACTTGCCCACTGCTCCAGATCACAATACTACAGTTCCCGCCCCCAGCACAACCTTACTTTACCCCAGGCTGGGTCAACCTGAGAACACAAGTCTCGGCCTGGAGAGGCCCTGACAGAGCCTTGGCCTGAACTACTGGGAACCTTGGCCTGAGGGGACATGACCCAGCCTCTGAATAGAGGAATACTTTTGAAGAGCTGGACTCCCGCCAAGGGCAAACCAACAGCTGGGTCGCTTGAAGTGCGGATAAGGCCCAGGAAGTGCATTGCCTAAAATGGCTCAGCCCATGTCAAGAGACTCCTGGGCAGCTGCTTGACCTCAGCAGCACGTGCGAGGGCGGGCATCTAGGAGGACAGCTGGGCGGCGGCTAGGCGCCTGCGAGCAGACACCTCTGCAGCACAGCTGTGGGCCTGGCCCCTCTGGACACTGTCTCAGAGAAGCTCTGTAGCCCAGACCTGAGCTTCAGCCTGGGCTGCCTCTGGGACACCTTCCCAGGCATCTCTCAGGCTCTCACATCCTGCAGAGCTGGCCCCACCTGCCAGTTTGGTATGCAAAGGAGGGCACCTAAGCCTTGATGTAGAGTGTAAAACATACTCGACAGCAAATACTGTGCAACCCAAATAGAATGTGGCCAGTTCTTCAGTGTCCACTACAGCGTCCACCACAGTGCCTAGCCGCTACTTTATTATTTGAGGTGGTCACTTGTTCCTTTGGGGCCCTGTCCCAGTAAGCTCTTCTTCCTCAAGTCTGGACCGGCTCGCCAAGCTTCCTAGTGCTATTGTGGCAACGTGACACACGGGGGCGCTCCCGGCTCTCGCCGGAAAGGACAGAGCCGGATGCGGGGGGAGGGGGATTGGGGGTGGGATTCTTCCATTTACAGAAATCGGTCTAGGGCTTTGGTTCTGGACCCTATCTCTTGGCCCCTCTTCTGCAGATGCCTCCTTTTAGAGCAGGCAGCTGCCTTGACAACTGCAAAACGTACAAATGAGTAGGTGCTGCCCTTGTAACTAAAGAGCCAGTAGGCCCCTAGTGTGTTTGGCCCTGGGTTGAACATTCCACAGGCATTTCTTCAGCTAATCCTAATTCCTCTCAAGGAAAGACAAAGTATTATCCCATTTCATTCGTGTAGGGCAGTATTTCAACACTAATGTCTCTGCTACCACAGCTGGCGTGCTTACCTGGTACCTGGATTTAGTTACATACATTATATTCATTTACTTACTGTTTTTATTTTATCTATCCCAGGATTGGACCCAGGGCCCTTGTACTGAACTACATCCTCAGCCCCATTTAATTTTTTTTCAAAAAACTGCCAAGCATGGAGTTGGGTGTAGTGGTGTATGTTTGTAATCCCAGCAGTAGGATCATGGGAAATCAAGGCCAGCCTAAACTACACAGGAGTCCCTGTCTCAAAACAACAAACAAAATTGGTACACATAGTAGTGTGCCGCTGTAATCCCAGTACTCCAGAAACTGAGGCAGGAGGCTCATAAGTTCAATGCCAGCCTGAGCTACATAATGAGTTCAAGGCCAGCCTGAATTACATAGGAAGACAGTTTCAAAAAAGCAAAAAACAAAAAATGAGGTGGGTTACAGCCCCTAGCTCTGGGTCTATCCAGCTGCCAGGTGCCAGGTGTCCCCTAGCGCTGTCCATGAAGGGAGTATGCTGACTGCTCAGGTGCTAACTGGACCTGGTGACCTGTACTTAGTGACTCTTTAGAGACTTGTAGTGGGGTTTGGTTGGAAGAATCACTCTGATGACCAGGACTGAAAGAAAATGGGTATCAATGAGCGTAGGACTGGGGACTAGGTAGATGGCTTAGTACAGGAAGCGCTTGCCTGGCAGGTGCAAGGGCCTGAGTTCAATCCCCGGTTGCACAAGAAAAAAAAAAAAAAAGTGTAGGGCTGGGGAGACATCTCAGCTGTCCTGAGTTTGATCCCTGGTAAAAAAAAAAAAAAAAAAAAAAAAAAAAAAAAAAAAAAGTCTTGTAACATTTTAAACATTTTAGCAAGGTGTGCTGGCCCATGCCTATAATCCCAGCAATTGGTAGGCTGAGGCAGGATAGTTGGGAGTTGGAGATAAACCCGAGCTAAAAGTGAGCTCAAGGCCAGCCTGAACTTCGTTGTGAGACGCTGACTCAAAAATACACAAGCAAAAACAACAAAAAACCCAAGTGGAACCAAACCCCACTAGTGGAAACACTTTCAGAGATAGACATAAAATAGCAAAAATATGACAGTAGAGGAAATGCAGATGCCAGAGCGAGTCCCCTCTCAAAAAAAAAGTGAGTCCCCACCACCTCAGGAAATGCATAAAAGTTCCCTCTGTAAAGGAAGTAGTTTCTAGCCCAGCCTGCTCCGTTAAGCGCTTTAAGGGGATCATCCCTGTATCATCAGCTCCATTTTTACAGGACAGGAGACTAATCTGAGGTGCTGAGAGCCAAGTGTGTTCCCAAGGTCATTCAGCTGGGAAGGGGCTGAAGGGGAAACCCAGAGACTACAGAAAGCTGCTTCAGAAGTGTCCAGAGGCAGCTGTGAGCAGGCGAGGCCAGGTCGAGGAGGCTCTTGCCTGTGTAGAGGGCTTCCTGGAAGGAGTAGCATTTTGTTGTTTTTGAAAATGCACAGAAGCCACATACTCTGGGACTGGGAAGCACATCTCTGAGGCTTCCCACCGCAACCTGGGGGGTGGGGGCCCACCCATCTGACCCTACCAGGATTTCCTGTTCTTCCAGAGTGACCACTCCCTGGGACTAAGCCTCCAATACACCTCCAGGACACCTTTTTTTTTTTTTAAAGCTACAAAGTCTTTTATTAAGGTGCAACTTTGGGAAGTTTAATTTGATAATACACTACTTACCACATTTAAACAAACACAATCCAAAGACAGTTTGACATGCTTTCAACTCTAGACTTTGTTCTCAAGATAGAAGTCTTCAAAACAAAACAAAAAAACACAAAAAACTGTCTTCATGTGTCACATGCAAATGGAATACTGCATCAATAGTCAAGAGTCCTCTCATGTCCTTTACTAATTATCACTGCTTTAGTATTGTTTCATTTATTTATCTATTTATTTTGAGACAGGGTCTGTGCAGCTCCGGTTGGTCCTGAACTCACTACAAAGCCCAGGATGGTCTCAAACTTGCAGCGATTCTCCTCCCTTCAAGTGCTGGGATTGCAGATGTGCACCTCTGTCAACACAACTCTTGAAAGTAACCTTAATAGTTAACAATATCCTCCAAATCTCAAAAAAAAAAAAGGGGGGGGGCGCTGGGGAAATGGCTCAGTGAAATAAGTACTTACCTGGCAAGTGCAGGAGTCTGAGTTCAATCCCCAGTTCCAAAAAAAAAAAAAAAAAAAAAAAAAAATCTCATATGTAACAATGAGTTTTTAGTTGCAAAAGATTTTTATTTTTACACCTGTTTATAAATCTTTTTTTTTTTTCTTTTTTTTGGCAGAACCGGGGATTGAACTCAGACCCTTGTGCTTGCCAGGAAAGCGCTTATTCCAATGAGCCATCTCCCCAGCCCCCCCCCATAAATCTTATACACGATTAAGACTTTCTTTTTTTGTGGAACTGGGATTGAACTCAAAGACTTTCTATTTATTTAGAGACAGGGTCTTGCTATGCAGTTCAGGTTGTACTCAGACTCAAAGCAAACCTCTTGTCTCAGCCTCCTATGTGCTGGGTTTACAGGCCTATACATCATACCCTGCAAGCCACCACTTGCAAACATGTTTTGTGTTACAATAATCCTTTATTAAAAAAAAGAGATAGGGTCTTGCTTAGTTGCTCAGGCTGGCCTCAACCTGAATATTCCTGTCACAGGCTCCCAAATACTGGCATCACAGGTACGCACCATCACACTTGGCAATAATATTCTTTCTTGGGCCTGGGATGTAGTGTAGCAGCACAACGCCTACCTGTCTCGAGAGCATGAGGCACTGAGTGTGCTCCATTCCTAGTACCAAAAAAAAAAACTTTTTAGGGGCTGGTGAGATGGCTCAGTGGTCTAAGGCACCTACTTAGAACAAGCTGCAACAAAGCATACGGACCGCGGTTCAATCCCCCAGCACCACATGCCAGCCAGCCCGGCCCCCTGGTGGGCTGAGCTGGCCACACACAAATAAATAAAATTTAAAAAAAAATTTTTTAAATCCTTCTTATATGTATCAAAACATACTTTTTTTATTTTTAAATTTATTTATTTTATTTATGTGTGTGTGTGTGTGGCCAGCTCAGCCCACTGGGAGCGGGGCTGGCTGGCATGTGGTGCTGGGGGATTGAACCGCGGTCCCTGTGCATTTGCTAAGCTTGTTCCAAGTAGGTGCTTTAGACCACTGAGCAATCTCACCAGCCCTATCAAAACATACTTAACAATGAGTTTTGAGTTGCAAGAGGTTTTTTTTTTTTTTTTGCACCGGTCTATAAATCTTGTACACAAGTTACACACAGCAGTGCCAAGACTACCTTTCTGATGGACGCAAAAACTAAGGTAGCCCAAGAAAAGCTGTGAGTGACAGAACCAGGTTTTGAAGCCCCCAGCCCCACCACCCAGGCGGCGAGGTGCAGGCAGAAAGGTCTCGGGACCTTCAAGGTCGGTAGCAGGAATCAACTTCAAGGTAGACCAGAACTCCCACCCAAGCCAGCGCCTAGGACGTGTGGCGCATGCGCAGTGCGCGCTCTCCGCGGAGGGTCCCGGCGGCGCGCACGCAGACGCGGGGGCGGGACCGGGGCGGGGCCTCGCGGCGGGTTTGGAATTTTTGGCGCGAGCCTGCTCCGCGCGCGTTCTCGGGCCGTTCCCTCTCCGAGAGAGCCCTTAACCTGAGCATCCGGAGTTGTCGACCGCGGGACAATCTTGTCCCGCGGCTTCCCGCCTGACTGGCCCACGGCCTCCCGCCGCCTCCGCCGACCCGGAATCTGACACCTCACTACCGCACCTCGCCCCGCCAACCCAGGTGAGCCAAGACCTGGCCCTGAGGATTCGCGGCCGGACTTCCTTCAGTCCTCTGACGGCCCCTTCCTGGGCCAGCCTTATCCCGTGCCCTGAAGCCCCTTTCCTCAGTGACTCTTCCGCCCTGTGCGGCAGCACCACCTTTCCCTGTCGGGCAGAGGCCTCGCTGCCCCGGGTGTCCTCTGCACCGCCGGCGCCGCCCCGCCGGCCCCGCCCTCCCCTCGAGCCCCACCCCTGCGCCTGCCCCTGGCGTTCCTGCGCTTCCCCTCACCCCGCCGCCAGGCCCTTTGCATCAGGAAGCTCCTGTCCCAGCACTGCCCTCTTTGACTTGCCACGCCCGCCTTGCAAGGAGTCTCCTCTACTGTACCCCGTGACAGCCCCCTCTTGGTAACTGGTCACCAACGCAGTTCGCCAGGGTTTCCCCTCGCCCACGGAGGGAAGTGAGCCTCAGCCCTACGGGCCTCTTGCAAACTGCGAGGTCACCGTGATTCACCCCCAGCCTGGTTTCCCTACCAACTGCTCCCATCCCAAAGGATGTTTGGTCCGGCCAGTGGTGCCAAAGTGTAAGTGACTTTGGGGCAGTCTGGGAACTAACTTAATATTCAGGTGCCTCGTGTGTTGATTGCACCAGGGATGGGCCTGGGGGCTGAATTTGTAATCCGAGCCCTAGAAGATCCTGGCACTCAGGTTCCTCACTTTGAAAAGCTCTAGGAGGTGGTTTTTTAAACTAAATGAAGGCAGAGATGAGGATGTGGGGTGAGCCTTCCAGACAGGCCAGCAGGGTCCCTCCCCTCACCGGCTTTCTCCCTTAACAACGGTAGGCTACTTTTCAAGTGACTAATCCTGTGCTGTCAGGAGCCTCTGCTAGGTATGTTGCTGATACATTGTGACTTCCTCTCAAAATTGACTTTTCCCCTTTTGCTTTCTTGTTTTTGTTTCAATTACATTATAGCAACATAACAGCCCTCTCTGCCTAATTTACACAGTCACTGACAGTGTGGGTCTACTGTACTTTTTTTTTTTTTTTTTTTTTTTGCGGAACCGGGGATTGAACTCAGGCCCTTGCGTTTGCCAAGTGCTTATTCCACTGAGCCATCTCTCTGGGCCCATCCACTATACTTTGGGTGTTCTTTCAGTTACCAGCCAAAGTATTTTATGTAATACTTAGCATTTATGTCAAACTCCCAAGCTAAGCCTTCCATGAGGTCAGTACAGTGTGACAGATCCACAGAGCCCTGGAGTCAGATACATTTTGGAATTCAAAATGTCTCAGATTTAAAAAGCTAATATGGTGCATATTGCATATACGTAACACTACTCATAACCCTGAGATGTCGTTCCAACATCAAACATTAATATTTCTGCCAAGGGGCCGGCCAGAGAGCTCAGAGGACTAAAGCACCTGCTTAGGCAGGCTCAGCTACGTGGTTTGAGCCCCAGCATGCCAGCCCTGCCCCCAGGGTGTGCTGAGAGGACTGAGAATGTGTGGTGGTGCATGCCTGTAATCCCAGCACTTCGGAGGCTGAAAACAGGAGGATCACTATGAGTCTGATCTGTGTAGTACAGATCTGTAGATCCTATACTAAAATACAAAAAAAAAAAAAAAATCTGCTAAGCAGTAAATATTTTCACTGAGAAGGAAAGATAGGTTAAGAGGGCTCTCTTTGACAGTCTGCCACTAATCCAAATTACTTTTGCATGTACAAATTGTCATTAGTTGAAAAGACTGTTCCTTCCCATCAAATTGTTTGATGCTGTTGTTGAAAACCAGTTGAGGGGCAGGGAGATAGCTCACTGGCAAGCGCAAGGTCCTGAGTTCAATTGCAAAAAGAAAGAAAGAAAGAAAGAAAGAAAGAAAGAAAGAAAGAAAGAAAACCAGCTGACCAAAATAGTTGAGTTTACTATTAGGGTAGTACTGAGGATTGAATCCAAGGCTTTTGCACTGAGTTACATCCCCAGCCCTTGTAGTTTTTATTTTGTTTTTGACTTTTCTGAGACAGGGTCTGTGTAGTCCAGGCTGGACTTGAATTTACTATGTATCCTAGGCTGACCTCAAACTCATGGTAATCCTCCAGCCTCAGCCACCTCAGTGCTGGGGTTATAGGTGTGTGTCACCACAACCAGTGTAGTTGGTTAGTTTTTTAAAAAAACAAAAACCAACACAGTCTTGCTAAGTCACTAAGTTGCCCAGCACTGGTCTCAAACTTGAGATCCTCTTACCTGGCCACCATATCCAGCAAGGTTTTTTGGTTTTATTTCTTTTCTTTTTTTTTTTTTTTTTTGCGGAACTGGGGATTGAACTCGGGCCCTTGTGCTTGCCAGGGAAGTGCTTATTGCACTGAGCCATCTCCCCGGCCCCTTGTTTTTGTTTCAATTCTTTTCCTCAATTTTATTCCTTTGACTTGAATATTTTTTTCTTCATTTTTATTTATTTTATTTTAGACAGGGTTTCACTACATAGTTCAGGGTGCTCTTGAACTCACTTTGCAGCCCATCATGGGCTGCCTCAACCTCCCAAGTGTTGGGATTACAGACATGTATCACTATACCTGACCAGTTTTTTATTTCTGGGGGACAGGGACTCACTTGAACTCAAAGCGATCTCTTGCTTCAACCTCCTCAGTGCTGGGGTTGCAAACCTGTGGCACCATTCCTAGCTAAGCTGTATCTTTATGAGAATGCCACACTTTTTTTTGTTTTTTTGTTTTTTTTTTTTTTTGCAGAACCAGGGATTGAACTCAGGCCTTTGCACTTGCCACGGAAGTGCTTATTCCACTGAGCAATCTCCCTGGCCCCTAGCCACACTGTTTTTTTTAAAAAACATTTATTTATTTATTTATTTATTTATTTATTGTGTGTGTGTGTGTATGTGTGTGTGTGTGGCCAGCTCAGCCCACCAGGGGGCGGGGCTGGCTGGCATGTGGTGCTGGGGCATTGAACCACGGTCCCTGTGCTTTGCCAAGCTTATTCCAAGTAGATGCTTTAGACCACTGAGCCATCTCGCCAGCCCCAAGCCACACTGTTTTGATAAGGATTGTTATTTTTTTATTTTTTTGGCTGGCTCAGGCTGCCTTAAGGGCAGGTCTGGTAAGGCATGAGGAGCTGGGGATCGAACCACAGTATCCTGTGCCTGACTGTGTTTGCGTAAGCAGGCGTTTAAACAACTGAGCTAACTGGCAGGCTCCCTGCCACACTGTTTTGATGACTGTGGCTTTGTAGTAAATTTTCAAATCTGGCTGGGTTTGGTGGCACACCCAGGAGGCCTCTTGGGAGTTCAAGGCCAGCCTTGAACATAGTAAGACCTTTGTCTTAGAAAGCAGCCCAGTCCAACCCAAAATGAACCCAGACAAAAAAAGACTAGAGGTGTGTTTTCTCCAACTTTATTCTTTTGTGTGTGTGTTTACTTTTCTGGGTCACTTGAATTTCCATATTAATTTTAGGATCAGCTCGTCAGTTTTTGATTTTTTTTTTTTTTTTCTTTTCGGAATTAGGGATTGAATTTAGGCCCTTGTATTTGCCAGGCAAGCACTTATTCTACTGAGCTGTCTCCCTGGCCCTTGAGCTGTCTCCCCAGCCCTTGTCAGTTTTTGTAATAAAACCAGGGGGGATTCTGATAGAAGGGACTGGATGTGTAGGTTAACTTGGAGAAGTTTTGATTTGTGATACTGAGGATCATCTCCAGTGCAATACACATACTAAGCAAGCAGTCTACTGCTAAGCCGTACTTCCAGGTCATAGTTTGGAGAGTAGTGTCATTTTATCTGTATTGTTTTTGAATCTAATGTAATGTCTTTAGTGTCTTTGCATTTATTTAGGCTGTCAGTTTTGGAGGGTTTTTTTGTTTTGTTTTGTTTTTCCCTCAAGATTGAACCCAGGATGGCCTGGCCTGATAGCTCAGGGAACTAAAGTGTCTCCTTAGGTAGCACCTGGGGTTCAATCCCCGGTGTGGCATACCGGCCCCACCCACAGGGCATGCTGAAATGGTGATTGAGACCAGGCATGGTGTAATCCCAGCACTTGGGAGGCTGAAAACAGGAGAATCACTACAAGTCTGATCTACATAGTGAGACCCTGTAGATCCTGTAGACCCTGTCCTAAATATAGAAGGAAAAAAAAAAAAATTAACCCAGGGCCTTGCATATGCCAAACCCACTTCTCCATACTTTTTCATTTGGGGTACGGGACAACTTCAAGACTTTTTACAGCTGGCTACTACCTGTGAACAAAACCCCTGAGCCATGCTGGCGACAGGAAGAGTGGCATATTTCCCTGAGTGAGAAGCAGCAGTGTGGAGATTTCTTTCTGTGCATGAGCTGGGGCTGGCCCTTCAAGCTCCTCTGTTCAGCCTGTCAATGGGGGCTGGCAGGTGGAAGAAGGGAGCCTCTGGCCTGCCTGCTATACTCAGTGCAAAGTTGGGGCACTAAGAAATGCTGAGAAACTGCTCTTCTTTGGCTGGTACCCTAACTTTAATGGGGAACAGAAGCCCAGTCTTCTTGGCCCTATCAGCCCATAGTGCTATTTTCTTACTAAGACCTGGTACATTTTCTTCTTTTTTTTTTTTGGCGGTACCAGGGATTGAACTCAGGACCTTGCGCTTGCCAGGCAACCTTCTTTTCTCCACCCCCCCCATCTTCTTTTCTTATACATTTGATACAGACATTTCTTCATTTGCCCCCTGCCCATATTACCATACCCGGAGACTTGAAATCTTGCTGTGCCTGATATTCACCTGTCCTGCGTGTGTCACTGGGGATAGGCCCATAGGGCTCCTCCTACTGCCACTCTAGAAGCAGAACTCCACACTCACTTCTGATACCACAACTACAAAAATGAAAGAAAGGAAGAATGAAACTTTAGATCTCAGAGACTTTTCACTTTGGAATTCAAGTCAGGGTCCTGGAAAAGGTCACAGTGAGGAGGGCTAGAAGAATGTCTGTCTGTCTGTCTGTCTGTCTGTCTGTCTCTCTCTCTCTCTCTCTCTAACAGGGTTTCATTATGTATTCCAGGCTGACCGTGAACTCACTATGTAGCCGAGATTGACCTTGAACTTGAACTTGTGATCCTTCTGCCTCAGTCTAATGCTGGGGTTACAGGGATGTGTGTGCCACCATGGCCATCTCAGTTTTACCCTTTCTGCTGGGCTGTGAGATCCTCAGGGACATAGGCTCATGGTCTCCCTGTCATATTTCTGTCATTTCTAAGATGCAGCACACACTGTACAGGTGTGTAGTTGCCTTTCTTCAGCTTTCTGCAGATCATGTGGCCCCCACAGCCTTCATGTGTCTAATGCAGCACATGTATAAGGTGTAGACAAGCTTTCTTAGGGGCCACAGGACTGGACGTTTGGGTAGACACACTGCTCTGTAATTGGCCTCCATCTCTGCCCCCAGGGCTTCCTGCACTGGCCATGCCTGTGCCCACCGAGGGCACCCCACCACCCCTGAGTGGCACCCCTGTCCCAGTCCCAGCCTACTTCCGCCATGCAGAGCCTGGCTTCTCTCTCAAGAGGCCCAGGGGGCTTAGCCGAAGCCTCCCCCCACGGGCCCCTGCCAAGGGCAGCATCCCTGTCAGCCGTCTCTTCCCTCCTCGGACCTTGGGCTGGCACCAGCCCCAGCCTCGGAGAGTGTCATTCCGGGATGAGGCCTCAGAGCTTCTGCAGAGCCCTGGGTATGACCCACACAGGCCAGAGTCCTTCTTCCAGCAGAGCTTCCAGAGGCTTAGCCGCCTGGGCCACGGCTCCTTTGGAGAGGTCTTCAAGGTGGGTGAGAGAATGGCCTTCGAGGCCTGTCTTTGAACCCCTTTGCTTCCTTCCCCTGGGTGGGACAGTGTGCTAGGCAACCTCTCCTTCCTCTCTGTCTCAGACAGCCAGCCTCTCCACTGTGCATGATTGGCTGCTCTCCCATGCTCCCCATGCAGGTCCTCCCAAGGCTGTTGTGCACACTGGTGCCTTGTCTGGAGTCTGGCGTGCCCTTCAGTGCTCCCAGCTGCCATCTCTGCCTGGAGCCAGCTGTGCTGGGGTCCTTGACGAGCTTTACCCGGCCCCTGGAGCAGGCTCAAATATAGTACCCAACTTGCCCCCCAACACTGGCAGGCTTGCCAGCCTGCCTGCCATCTTTTTTTTCTTAAAATACATTTTGCTATTAATTATATTTTCTTTGAAATGGTATCTTCCCTTGGAATATTGAAGACAGTATTATTAAAAATGCAAACATCATAGATCCTTGGATCAGCTTTTTTTCTGGCTAGCTCAGGCTGCTTTAAGGGCGAGTCTGGTGTGGCTTATGGAGGTGGAGATCAAACTGCAGTCCCCTGCGCCTGACTGAGTTTTCCCAAGCAGGTGCTTTAAACAACTGAACTAATCCATAAGCCCCCTGGATCAGCTTCTTTCTAGAAGACAGTTTGCATACCACACAGCATACTGCCCCTTGGGTTCTGGAGCCCTGGAGTTTCTCCAGTTAGAGACTACCAGTGTATCACAATGCTGATTGAGTTTATTTTTTAATTAAACTTTTTTTTTTTAATTAGGATTGATCTTAGGGCCTTTGTACTGAACTATATCCCTAGCCTTTTTAAAATTGAATTTAACAGAATCTCACTAAGTTGCTAAGTTGTCTAGCCTAGTTTTGAACTTGTGATCCTGCTGTCTCAACTTCCAAGAGTGCTGAGATAACTTACATGTATTAAATGTGTTGTGCCCCTTGTGGCTCACCTCCCCATCCCCACAACCCCTCTTCTAGGTGCGCTCCAAGGAAGATGGCCGGCTCTATGCAGTCAAGCGTTTCATGTCACCATTTAGGGGCCCCAAGGACCGGGCCCGCAAACTGGCTGAGGTATGCGGCCATGAGAAGGTGGGGCAGCACCCACACTGTGTGCGACTGGAGCAGGCCTGGGAGGAGGGCGGTATCCTGTACTTGCAGACAGAGCTGTGCGGGCCCAGCCTTCAGCAACACTGTGAGGCCTGGGGCACCAGCCTGCCAGAGACCCAAGTCTGGGGCTACCTGCGGGACACCCTACTGGCTTTGGCCCACCTGCACGGGCAAGGCCTGGTCCATCTTGATGTCAAACCAGCCAACATCTTCTTGGGACCCCGTGGCCACTGCAAGCTGGGTGACTTTGGGCTGCTGGTGGAGCTGGGTACAGCTGGAGCCAGTGAGGCCCAGGAGGGAGATCCCCGCTACATGGCTCCTGAGCTACTGCAGGGCTCCTATGGGACAGCAGCAGACATATTCAGGTAAGGGCTGGGACATGAAGGGGTTATGTTGGGCTGTGGGCGGTCAGCAGAGAGAATGGCTCCAGGAGAGGAGCTCCTTCCTAATCCCAGGACTGGAGGATATTGGCTGTCAGGCCTGTGGGATATGCCCCTGCCCTACAGAGTGGTCTGTGGAGCTGGCTGCCTATAAGCCCTGGAGATTGTGTAGCCTCACCACTTCATTGTCTAGGAGGATCAACCATTACTCCATTGCAGAAGGGACTTGCCCCAAGTCCTTGGTTAGCAGCTGAGGTTGGGTCTAGGCACTGGGTGCAAGTCCACACTGGCAGCCATTGCCCTTCCCCCAACAGTTGTATCTGATAGTCTTAGCAGAAAGATGGTAGTACTAGTAACGATGGAAACCTTGGCACCTGTCAGGGAGGTGCTATAGGACCCATCACAGCAATGGCAATGTGTGAGCTACACTAGGGTGCAGGGCCCATATTTTATGACAGGGTCCCCATTTTGCCTGGGGCTTATTGGCTCTTCTGGGGCCTCCTTAGATGGGCTCACTCTTCTTTTCCCACCTGTCTGGCTTACAGTAGAAGAGAGCTGCCCTTCTGTACCCTTTAAGAGGCTGTCTGGGACTGGGGTCCAGGGTCCCAGGGCCCACTCTGCCCATTTTTGTCCCCATCCCTTGTCTTTCCCAGTCTGGGTCTCACCATCCTTGAAGTAGCCTGCAACATGGAGCTACCCCATGGTGGGGAGGGCTGGCAGCAGCTGCGCCAAGGCTACCTGCCCCCTGAGTTCACTGCTGGTGAGTGGGGATCCAGGGGTACCTCCCTGCCATAGACAGGGAATGGCTACCCACTGGGCTGCTGTAAGCTGTGGTGTGGTTTGGTTTGGCTGGTGCCCTGGGGTCCCTGATATGAGCCTGCCTCATGAGCAGGTCTTTCTGCTGAGCTGCGTTCTGTCCTTGTCATGATGCTGGAGCCTGACCCCCAACTGCGGGCCACAGCTGAGGCCCTGCTGGCCCTGCCCATGCTAAGGCAGCCACGGCCTTGGAGTGTCCTGTGGTACATGACTGTCGAGGCCCTGAGTCGAGGCTGGGCCCTGTGGCAGGTAAGCCTCCACATGCTATGAGGACCACCTATGCTCTGGATCAGGACCCACCTGGCTTCCTAAGGCTCAGTTTCCCCCACAGGCCCTGCTCACCCTGCTGTGCTGGCTCTGGCATGGCCTGGCTCACCCTACTAGCTGGCTGCAGCCCCCAGGACCACCAGTTACCCCACCTGGCTCACCACCCTACAGCCCACTTCTGGACAGCAGCCACTCTAGCAGCTGGGATGATGACAGTATAGGGTAGGTGAATGCTTAGCATGCTTTGGGGTGATGGGACATCACTGTGACCCAATACTACATAGGAAGAGACCCATACCCCATGGAAAAAACTGTCGGATCAAAGCCTGACATAAACCTGGCCCCATCATACTCCAGGGTGCAGCCTGGCCTGTGTGTATGTGGCTCAGCCATGCCATAGCAGCTTTACACAGCCACTTGTATACCAGCTGCAGCAGGCAGATAGGAAGACTGGAAAGCCTCCACTTCAGTAGAGACTACTAGTGTTCAGGAATGACATTGTCCTTCCCTGAGTGAAAAAAGCCTTTCACACGTTGGTACCCCCATCCCACCTTAGTCCCACATGCCTGGGAGAGGCCATAATTAAGAAACTGCTACACAGGAAAGCTACATGCTCCAGACATAGCTCTCAGGAGGAATCCCTTCTTTATACTGTCATCCTTGTTCTGGGGGGCACCTTGGAGCATAGAAGAAATGCTAGGAAAACTTCATTTATCAGAAGTTAATTTAAAATCCAGCTTGAAGTTGTGTGTTCTCTGAAAGAGGATAGAGGTGGCCTTTAGGGTCTAGTCAGGTAGACTTAGAAAGTTTAAAGTGTAGTTTCCCTGACGAAGGTTGAGTCAGAGCTAGTCTTGTCCTGCACTGCCCAAACCCCAACATCATGCTTATCTTGCCTGCCCTCCTGCAGGCCCTCACTCTCCCCAGAGGCTGTGCTGGGCCCAGCTACCAGGAGCACCTCCACACCTCAGGGCAGGTACACACTGAGGTGAGCAGGCCCAGGGGCTGGGGCTAAGGTTGGCTTTGAGATCCTGAGTGTCATTCCCCTTTGTTCCTTCCCCCAAGGGACACCCTAGACCTGAGTGACATGGAGTCAGAGCCTCCTAGAGGTTCCTGCCCCTCTTTTGAACCTCGGAACCTCCTCAGCCTGTTTGAGGACTCACTAGACCCAGTCTGAACCACAGGCCCAACTTTGGCGCTTTTAACCTTGGAACCCCTTTCCTGTCCCTCCCTTGGGAAGGTGGGACCTCTCTGGGAACTCCTATGTCTAATAAAAAGTATTTGAATCTTGGGAGTACCCAAGCTTGCTCAAGTAGCAACACAATACTTCCTGTCCTTTTATTAATGTTGCCTAGGGTCTTGGGCCTCTGGGAGGATGCAGCCCTGAGGCTAACCCCTGCTGCAGAGCCCAGTTACCCTGGCCTCAGGCCAGAGGGCCAGAGCCATGCACTGTGGAACAGAGATTTCCTGAGTGGGCATATCTCTACGGGGCAAGTTGAACCATCAATCCATGGCCCTTAAGTGAGGCCTGGATCTGGAATCACTCCACATCTGTGCCTGTTGTCTGGGAAAAACAGCCACTGCCCTCCTGACTCTTGGGCACTTGGTTCAAGAAGGGCCAGTGCCTACTTGGTCCTAGGAAAAGGGGATGGTTCTACTGCTCCAGACCCTTACTATAGTTTCTTAGCAGGGGAGAGCTTCTGGCTCCTGGGGGAGTATGCAGGGGACATAGAAGTCAGGAAGCAGGAGCAGAGGGGCTGGTGTCTCATGGGAGGGGCAGGGTGGGATGATGGCTTAGACTAGCAGGTGGGGCATAATGGCATAAGTTGGCAGGACTCCAACTGTCAGTGAGCTATGACCCTAGAGTTCCTCTCTGCCCAACCCTTACAGGTCACAAAGATAAAGAAGTGTACATGGGATGTCCTTCCAGCTGACACAATAAGGGAGTAAAGATGGCAGGGAAGGGAAGTTGGAGTTCCAGGCCTGGGTAGAAGTTAGTCCACAGGAAAGAATGAAGAGGAGGAAGGTCAGCTGGGAAATCCTGTGCACTGGTAGCATCCAGGGAGCCTGTCCCTTGCAGACCACAGATGGAAGGAAGGTGGCTTTATTGGCCCCAAGAGGCCTCAGGCAGGCAAGGAGGCAGCTCAGTCCGGGGAACAGGCATGGCGAGCGGCCCAGAGCAGGTCAGGCACAACACCGGCGTGCAGCTGGAGGATGGAGCCCACACTGAGCAGATGCATGATCTGGTGGGAGTTGCCCCAGTAGTCGAAGCGGCCGGGTCCCCAGCGCTCTGGCAGGCGGGCCACATTCACCAGCCCTCCAAGCAGTGCCAATGCATCCATACGCAGGTAGCAGGGCAGAGAGCCTGGGGCTCCTGAGCCCAGGCCTACTCCACGGGCCCCAAACACCAGCAGGCGGGCCCCAGCTTGCCAACCGAAAGCGCGGAGCCGTGCACTGGTAGAGGGGGCTGTGAGGGCACGCCAGCCGGCCACGGCTGACAGCATAGTGTAGCCCACCAAGGCAGCAGGGCGCAGCCAGGGCCTACAGGCCAGGGTACAGTGTATGATGGGCAGAGCCCCTGCAGAGAGAGAGAGAAAAAAAGGGAATCAGTCTGAGGCTACCCAGGGATTGTGCAGAAACCCTTGCCTCTCCCTCCCTGGGTCCCTGGCTCACCGAGGGTGTTGACGAGGCAGACCCCACACATATCCAGGGCAAGGAGCCGGGCGTACACGGGGCTGCCCCCTTGGTGGCACATGAAGAGGTGATACAGCACAGAGGCCGCAGGAGGGGCCAGGCAAGCCACACAATGTGTGCCCCCCAGCCATCCATCCTTGCCCAGCTGACCCCAGGGCATGGTCATTGGCACCAGCACCAGGAAGCCCAGCAGGGCCACCCCTGGGGGAGGGAAACAATGAACAATGAGGCAGTTTCAGCATAGAAGACAGGTCACTTCCAAAACAGGACCAATCTAGAGTTGACACGAGGGATGAGAGTGAGATAGGTCTGAAGTTGATCAGCAGTCCAGCATGGAGGCAGCTCAGGGCCAGGCTTTTATGGTTCACTCACATTCTGGGAAATAGACACCATGAGCCCCACTTTGTTGGGGAGTTGTAGAAGCCACATAACCTGCTCCAGGTGAACTCTCAGCAATAGCAAAAGACAAGGGACAAGCCTGGCAGTCACTTCCCAAGTTGTCCACACCTCTCAAGCAGGAGCTGGGGTGTCCACAGAAGCCGGGGAGGCTGGACCTCAGGCTGCATTCTGAGTAGGACACGTGGGTATTCCACCAGCCCCAGGGCTACCAAGTGCCTCTTCCTAGTCCCCACACAAATGGATGTTTGAGCCATTTTTGTTTTCCACAAAGGGGTGAGGCCAGGCAAGTTGAAGGAGAGCAAGGGGCTGAAAGAGCTCATTCTGTCCCCTCTCAGAGGGCTCCATTCCTCCCAGCTCCAAACCCTTCTGGGAGATACCCACCCCTCCTAGCAATGGTAGTGGCCTAACTGAGGGGCAAACCAGGACACTTGAGCTGCCGGCCCACTCTTCGGCCCACACTTCGAAGGAGTTTGGCCTGCCCATACTGTGTTACCAGGGAAAGGCCCCAAGGCTAAACCCAGGCAGTTACGGGCCCCTCTCCTGGCTGGGACGACTCAAGGACGGGCATGTCTGTGTCAGCAGAGTGCTGTGGGCGGGGAGGAGGGGCAGGGCTCCTGCGGGGGGTAGAGGGGGAGCCTCGCTCAGGCTGAGGCATGGCTGCGGGGGCGAAGGCGGCAGGGCCAGGAGGGACTAGGGCCCGGCTGTGGTGCACATCTTGTCCCAGGCCCATCTCGACACAGTTAACACCTATCTCCAGGATGGGTGCCGGCCAGCAGGGGTGCCCAGGGCACTGGGATTACGAAGAAGTCTGACTCTGGGCTTCTTACCCCAACGCTCAGCAGGATTAACCGCTTTTGGCCCCCTCTCAGCTGCCCTCTCCGGTGCTGGGCCCCCCTCCTGAGAAAGCGGAAGCTGGCGGGCGCGGCTCGGACAATGGCAGCTTTGTCACTGCAGCTCCTAGCCGAGTCAGGGCCGGGACTAGCCGGGACCAGAGCACGATGGCTTTCCCTGGTTTGGAGCCCGAGCCCACACGGGCAGGGCGGGGAGCAGGATGCGCGGAGCGGGGCGCGGCTCACCGTGTGTGTAGATGTTGCCCAGCTCGTTGTGCAGGTAGAAGAGGCTGCGCAGGCAGCCCGAGCCACTGCTGGCTGGCCGGTAGCCGGTCAGCACGAACTTATTAAACTGGAGGTGCGGCGGCGAACTGGCCCAGTCCAGCAGGCGCGGCCCAGCCAGGAACGCCATGGCCCCGGCAGCGCGCTCCTCCCGCTTCAGGGCCTCCTCTTCAGCGGGGCTGCAGTACCGGGAAGCTCATGCTCGCTGCCTCGCGAGGCAATGCCGTGCACGCCAGCCTGTGGACCCGGCCCACTCCGTTCCCGCGCTGCGCGAGCCCGGTGCCACCGCGCGTAGGCAGAGATTGGATACCCAAGCCACCGGCTGCACCCAGGGAAAGTCACGCTGGGGTAGCTCCCTAGAGGCGGCAGCCACTGAAGGTCTTCGGGTCTTCTCACCAAAGCCTGGAGGACAGGCGCGGCAGGACTAGGGAGGGGACACTAGGCTCCGCCCCGAGCTCCTCGCACCCGTCACCCTGGTGGTGTTTCGCGCGCTAGATTCCTGACGTCTATACTGCCCGGCCCAATGGGCAGCGCCAGCAGGGAGCTCCTCCCCAGGCTGCCTAGGCCTCCTCCTCCTCCTCCTCTTAGCATAATATATACAGTTCCAGCCTTATTTGCATGGGGTAATTGTTGATTTGGGACCTGAGGTCCTGGTTCCACGTTGTGCTGCAGTGACCCGGCATTTGTTCCCCCAGCATTTAGCACCTGATTTTTCCTATGATGTCCAGATTGTCACATTTTGGGGCATCTGCCTTCGAGGGTATAGCCCCTACCACCCAGCCCCACCTCGCATTTGTGGCCCTGTCCAAGGTGCTGCTGACACGGATCAGTTCGGGAGGGTCCAGACAAGCTCCTGAGCCGCCCCCATTTCAGGGCTCGAGGAGGTGCATGAGGAAGTTTACAGCCTGGGCCTGGCCCAGCTTACTTCTTATGTCCATGAGGTATGCTATTCACCCTGTCCAGGACAGGTAGGAAACAGGGGGGAAAATAGAAGGCAGGAGGGGAGAGGACAAAGGCCTGTTCTACCCCATCTACCTTGGGTGGGGCCAGGAAGTATCCCTTCGGCAATCTCACTGGCCAGCAGCTCTGAGACCTCTACTGGACACACCCATGCATTCTCTGTCCCTTCATCCTCTGCACTTCAGAAGGCTCCACCAAATTCATTGTATGAAATGCCTTTCATTTGCATGAATACAGGCAGTTCTCTGGTGTTGTATGTCACTAACATAGCTGTTCCCGCCATGTAAGAATTTTTGAGGCCTATACCAAAATAGGCCCTCTCCTTAAGTCCAGGGTCTTTTGACCACTTTTGTTGACTGCTGACCTCTCATTGAAGGCAGCAGTCCAGGATCACAAGAGGGGCTCAAAGACCACTGACACAGAGACTACCCTCATATCAAGATCCATGGGTTGGGAACCTGAATTTTTTTCTTGTCTTTGGGCTGGACCACAGGGACCCCAGGGGTCAGGCCAAGTTCGCACCATAGCACTAGATTCTTCTTTTTCAATTTCTGGTCTCCCCAAGATGACCAGAGGCCGATCTTCCTTTGAAGGGGTGAAAGACCGAGGTAGAATGTAATATGAAGTCTCTGGCATCCATCTCATTGGTACAAGGTCCCATGTTCTACAGACCCTGTGGGTCGCAGTCAGAGAGCAGAGATGAGTGAGCGCAAGGAACTCTGGCTGGAGGCACTCAGGGGCCGGTAACCTGCGGCGGGACCTTCAGCCTGGGAGTCTCCGGTAGGACAGGGCAGGGCCATCCCTCTGGGCCTGTGGTACCACACAGCCCAACTTCTCCCAGTGCCCCTGGAAGGTCCCAATGCTGGTGGCCCTTTTCCTGGAGCCAGCAGACAGTTCCTAGGGAGGGAGCAGACATCAGCTGGACCCCCACTCAATCCCACCTCCAGCATCCTATTCTGCCTGAGATCCCACATGTGGCTCTGTGTGTACCCAAAGCCTCACCCCCTCAAAAGCACAAGAGTCCTTTCCTAGCTTTGGCCCCACCTTGGGGCCCAAGTCCCCCACCGGGACCTCAAGTCCCCACAGTGGCCCCACGCCCCTGGGCTCCAAGGTGTCAGGCTCCTGGTGCTTGGTCCACCCTCAAGCCCTGCCCCAGCGCCCACACCGTCGGCGCAGGAGACGCAGCAGCGACAAAAGCAGGAAGAGCAGCACAGAGACAACTGTCACCGACGAGAAGACCCGGGCTGTGGGATAAGGCTGTAGTTAAGACAGGCTCCCCTTCCTCTCAGGGCCTGCTCCCTGACTCACCCCCACCGCCCACTTTTCATGCGCCTCACCCCCCATTGCAGCCTGCAGAGTCACAGGCCTGGGGCTGCAGCTTGAATTGGCCTCTCCAGGAGTCTCTACTGGGGTCTGGGCAGATCCCTTGGGTTGCACGAGGTCCTCGACTACATCCTGCAGCCCTGCGGAGCAGAATGTGAGGAGGGGTGGGGGCACCGGGAGGGGCGGGCCTGGGGCGGGGCTCACCGCGGTAGGTGAGTGCGAAGCCTTGTGAGTGGCCACGCGCGTCGCTGCGGAAGGTGAGCAGGAGCGCAGCAACCCTCAGGCGTAGGGGCCCGGCTGGTGGTGGGCGGGTCCCGTCGAAAGCCCGCAGCAGGCTCCCCGAGGGGACATCGCGCAGCTCCAGTCTGTCGCGGGGGTCCGCCAGCTCAAAAAGGCGGAAGGTGAGCTCCAGCGCTGCGCCCGATGGGCCTACCACCCAGCTGCAGTTCCGGTCTGGCCCGTACTCGTCGGGAAAGTCCGGGGAGTATATGACACCCTGAGGTGCTGTCCAGTTTCCCTGGCAGGAACCCACAGACACTGCATACAGGGCAGGTGGTTAGGACCCTGTGGTCAGCGGAGCTGTCCTTTAAGGGCTGCTGCTCCCACTCCAGCTAGGCCCCAACCCAGGGCAGCCCAGTTCCCTCTTGAGGCCCCACCCCAAATGCAGGTCTTGCCTAACTTCCATAGGCCCTGCCTTTGCACCAATCCTTGCTTAGGTCTTGGTCTCCAGTTCCCTCTTCCCAGGCAGGAACCCTAGCCTACTATCCTCCTTTCCTGATACAGCCCCTATTAGGGTATGGCACACCTGATGCCCCTAGACTTGTCTCCTCACCAAAAAGCTTCTCTAGCCTTCACCCACCTTCATAGATGCCTAGCCGCCCGTCACCACCACACAGCTGGCCTGGATGACCGAAGCAGATCTGGTCACAGTCAGTGGCAGGTGCCCTGCGTCCCCGAGCCAAGTCGCTTTCAGAGCCACAGAAGCAGGCATAACCAGCCTCCACACCAGCCAGCTGGGAGCACAGACTGAGTGACCCCAAAGGCAGGGATACCAGAAAGGGTGGAGTCATGGGGTCAGAAGTGGGAGTCAGGCTAAAGGTTTACAAATCAGTGCCAAGGTTTGGGGTCAGAGTGTTGGGAGTTGAGTGTTGTCCTGAGGTCAGGGTTAGCAGGGACCATTGCTCAGTGGACATAGGCAGTACCATACCTGATAGCCCTTCATGCGGCAGAAACGAAGGCACACCTGGACCGTGAGCTTTGTGGAGGTGCCACTGGGGCCGCTGAGAGCTGGGGGTGTGCCAGAGTCCACAAAGCACCCCAGGTAGCCAGGCACTGAAGGGACAGTGAGGTTAGGCTCCCACCTCTGAAAGCAGCCCTCCCCCTTACTTTCCCCACTCCAGCCAGGCCCACTCACTGTGACACGTGGGGATGTCACAGTAGCGCCAGTAGATGCCCTCCTCTGTCTCAGCCACATAGCACCATGGTTGCACATCACCATCTGGGTTCCTGGGGGAACCCAGGTGGAGGGGTTAGGGTCCTTTTACCCCTGTGTGCAATGTGACCACCGAGGTTCTACTCTGTTAGAGGCTGTGCACACATGTTCTAGTTTTTGCTATGTGTTTCTGGATATTGGCTTTCAAGTAGCCACGTCATTAAAGGGGCCTTGAGGGCTGCTGCTAGGACTTGATCTCATATTTTAGGACTTGATCCTCACTTGCCATTTTCCTTGCCTCAGAACTATTTTATTTGATTTTTTTTTTGTGGAACTGGGGATTGAACTCAGGCCCTTGTGCTTGCCAAGGAAGTGCTTATTCCACTGAGCCATCTCCCCAGCCCTTTATTTTATTTTTTGAGACAGGGTCTCACTATGTAGTTCAGGCCAGATTTATTTTGTTTTGTTTTGTTTTGCTTTGCTTTGCTTTTCTTTGTTTTGTTTTGTTTTGTCAGGCCAGATTTGAACTCATTATGTAGTCCAGGCTGGCCTGGAACTTATAGCAGTCCTCCTGCCTCAGCTTCTCTCTGCTGGGATTCCAGGCCTGCACAATGCCTTGCTGAGCACTTCCTGAGAAGTGATCTCCCTAGCTGTGGGTCAGATCCAAATCCCTCCATTACAGATAGTTGATGCTGCTCAGAGAAGTACATCAAGGGCCTGTCTCTTTATTCCAGGGTTCCCCACTGACCAGGTCTTCTTTAAACAGACCCTTGGTCCTTCTCTCTTGGCGCTGACCCTCATGAGCTCTGTAGAAATTAGGTGCTTAGATCCCAGCCGTTTTGCAAAAAGGTTCTGTGCATCCACCCCTCCCTTTAGCTCTGCTCCTAGACCCCCAGCAGGACCCAAGTACAGATGTTGGTAAGGTCTACTTCTGGCCACCTCAGGTCACTGCCTCAAGGGTAGGCGTCAGGCCTCAGGCCTCACCGGCAGAAGTTATGTGCGCCCAGCCCCCAGCGGCCCTGGGGGTCACTGGAGCTGCTGTAGCTATGCTGCTGTGTCTGGTTCCAGAAGAGACATGGGCGTCCTGTCCCATGCGGGCCAGTGTGGTTCTGGTGGCCACGGTAGTCGGCGCCGTTCACCTGGAAGCACTCGGACAGACCTGCCAGGTAATCGCGGAACCTTGGGGGGCTGGACCCTCCTTGGCACCACCACCCCGGCCTCCACCCCCGCGGAGCCCTGGGGCTGCTCAGCTGCTCCCGCCACCTGCTCTGCTCGCCTGATCTCCAGCCTCGGGGCCCCAACCAGCCCTGGTGGAGAGGCCAGGACAGAGCGTTGACCATGACCTGGCCCTGTGCCTGACTCACCTGGACTGTTTAGGCTTCCTGCCCAGGCTCTGCGCAGCCACAACAGCGGGAGAAAGAGGACGAGGCCCAGCAGGGCCCGTGTCCCCATCGCCCTCAACCAGGAAAGAGGTCGTCGTCCTGGCTGGGAGCCACTGACCACCCCGGGGCCGGACCCGGGTCTCGTAGGCGACCTTGGGGGCGTTGTCCTTTGCTGTCTTCCTCACACTCTCTGGGCGGTCCTGTCTACCTGGGGGAAGATATCTCCCAGGGATCTTTGCCTCCTAGAGTGTACCTCTTGGAGGTGGTCTCTCTGCCCCTGCCGATGCCCGGGGGTCTCCCGGGTTGGGGAATCTAACCGAGGCTTGCTCAGTGTCTGCTCCCCAGCCTCTACACCCTTGCCCTTCCAGTGCGTCTGTTTTCTCCTTTCCTTCG